CTACTGTTATAGGACGTGGGTTGACATTTTGGACAAGTTGGTTTGTTGCAGTTATACTAAATGGGTTCTCAGTTTTATATCCGGTGGGTTGTTATTGATTTACACGTGGGTTGTACGCGGCAAGTGTGTGTAAAGAGCGAGTTTGTAATTATTGAACGTTTTAGATACATTTGACATATGGTGTTAACGGCGGCATTTAAAGTGGTTTGCTACTCCTCGCGTGTTATAATGTGCTAAAATAAAAAATATTTTAATTATTAAGTCAGGTGAGCCTACACTAACAGGTCAACATTCATTTCTCTACGTCTTTAATTAGGCAACATCACTCTCAATATGCACATCTTATAGGTCTTCACAAATTATTAAAATCTTAGTCTTTAATAAGTCGTCATGAATTAGTATATCTCAATCTTACATAGGTCTAGGTCGTCATTAATTAGTATATCTCAGTGTTATATAGGTCATCACTAATTAGTATAGTTTTCCTATATATATAGGTCATCACTAATTAGTATATTTCAACTTAATATTGGTCATCACTAATTAGTATATTTCAACGTTATATAGGTCATCATTTATTAGTATATTAAAACTTTATATAGGCCAACACTAATTAGTATATCTCAGTCTTATATAGGTCATCACTAATTAGTATATTTCAACTTAATATAGGTCATCACTAATTAGTATATCTCAGCCTTATATAGGTCAACACTAATTAGTATATCTCAGCCTTACATATGTCAAGAGCCACCGTATACCCCCACACGTCTCTAAGTCGGCTTCAAATCCTGTCATTAATTTTAATACACGCGACAAACGAAAATGCACTAACAACAACCCCTCCCCCCCTCTCCCCCACCCTACCCATCAGGCCATTTCGCCGTTGGTTATCTGGGTGAGATTGAACAAGACAAATTCCTTGGCCTGTATTAAAGTCCTGTGTAGCAAGGATCGATAACTCCGGCCTTGTTGTCGCGACTGCCCTACTTGCTGGTACCCAAAATTGGAAACAGGTTGTATCTATGTGTTGCCGACTACTGCAAGGCGATCGAACATTTGGCACGACCTCACCGCTGGCGTCCATCAAGGAACAGTTTTTAGTTAACCCTTTTCAGCCTGGCAAATACACGACAGGGGGGGATGTTTAACCCTTGTGTACACACTCAACAGGATTATGTCGAGTCAGAGAAGAAATTTTTTTTATCCCAGTTTTTCTTTTAAAAGGATGCTTTCAGTCTTGAGGGGATAGGAGAAAGTAGGGCGCACAGTAGGGGTATTGTTCCGTGGTTCTGGGCACTGTGATTTGGACAAATGGACGGGCGGCCTTGGTGCTGTGATGGTATCAGTTAAGGAGGGGGTAAGGCGGAGGGGCTGACTAAATATTGAAGGGGGGGGGGGGGGTCGCCGACCTTTGCTGGTAAAATGCGATCAGAAATATTGAAAAAGTGTCAAAGGCGAGGGTTCGTACGAATAATTAATGAAAGTGGTAGTTGTGCTTTAGTACTGAACACATTTTTTAGATGGAGGTATTGCTTTAGTAGTGAACACATTTTTTAGATGGAAGTATTGCTTTAGTAGTGAACACATTTTTTAGATGGAAGTATTGCTTTAGTAGTGAACACATTTTTTAGATGGAAGTATTGCTTTAGTACTGAACACATTTTTTAGATGGAAGTATTGCTTTAGTAGTGAACACATTTTTTTAAGAAGAGAGGTCTGAACAACGACTAGCAGTATACAATCTTTTTCTAGCCTAGACTAAATAATTCTAGTACTAGAGAAAGGTGTCTGTTTAAAAGATTGTTCAAAGTGCTCAAACAACAGCCTTGTAGAGATAAGGTTGATGGGAGGCGATTAAAAAAAAACCATTAAATTAAAATTTGTCACAATGTCGCTTCCAGTCCATGCTGACTGTAGAGCACATAACACAGACTCCGAAGATTTCTTAGTATTTGCGAGGCTACTGTTTAAATATAACTATTTCATTTCAATTCGCATTTGCAGAGAGGACGCAATACTGAATTTGGTTGGGCTTTATAAGAATACATCGGATGCAGATATTAGAGGCTTGCTTTTGCTACTATATTAACCTAACTCTTGTCACGATCATCATTATAATCCTTACCACAACTAACCCTTCCCTGACCCTAAGCCCCCCCCCCCCCCCCCAACCACTTGCCCAGCTATGTATACAAGTCACGGTGGTGGTCAAAATGTTTGTCGACAAACAGTGACACGGGGTACCTATAACGGAAATGTAGCCTACACGTATCGTAATCCGCCCGTTAGATCGCTGCGGCCATTCAACGATTGCGTACCCAGGTAAGTTGTTCGCCATTGAAGAGCACCGCAAAATTCCACGTCCACCGAGTGCAGTGCACAGCCAGTGAACGCACATACCTACACTACTATTGAAAGCGCGTTCATTCATTCATGAACTCAGGAGATACGCCCGATGACGCACCGGTAGGGCTGCCGTTGGTTGATGTTGATCGCTTTTTGATATTGGAGACGACACATATTTGAAGGGGGGTGTGGGGTGGGGTTTGGGGTGGGGGTTGTATGGCTTTTTAAACCGACAGCGTTGAGAGGGATTTAAACTGACTGTCAAACCCGAAACAGAGACAAGACAAACCTAGTTTACTTAGAATCAGTGTCGTCATAACGATATTTATTCCTGGATCCCACCCTGGGATATACTAAATGCTAATCCCATCTTGACAGTGAAAACCATTAAAAGACATTTTATGAACAATCTTTTGCTGTAACTATTTAGGTAGCCACACTAGAAATTCTATTCTAACCCCAATCATTTAAGTTGCACGCTTTACATTACAACAAATACTTCGAGTCACTCTCTCTTTTCTCATCCAATTAATTAACGCTTGTAACTAATTAAACAAGACAGGCTGTCGACCCCTACCTCCTCGTTTCCGTGTAGTGCATACAACAGAAAAATAGCAAAAAAAAATTTCACAGATCTATATTGTCCTGTTTCATTAGGAAATCAATTGCTTACCTATTAGGAAATCAATTGCTTACCTATTAGGAAATCAATTGCTTACCTATTAGGAAATCAATTGCTTACCTATTAGGAAATCAATTGCTTACCTATTAGGAAATCAATTGCTTACCTATTAGGAAATCAATAGCTTACCTATTAGGAAATCAATTGCTTACCTATTAGGAAATCAATAGCTTACCTATTAGGAAATCAATAGCTTACCTATTAGGAAATCAATAGCTTACCTATTAGGAAATCAATTGCTTACCTATTAGGAAATCAATTGCTTACCTATTAGGAAATCAATTGCTTACCTATTAGGAAATCAATTGCTTACCTATTAGGAAATCAATAGCTTACCTATTAGGAAATCAATAGCTTACCTATTAGGAAATCAATTGCTTACCTATTAGGAAATCAATTGCTTACCTATTAGGAAATCAATTGCTTACCAATGAAAACAACATGTTAGACGGTAAATTTAGCTGCACTGTTTCTCTTAAATTTATAAACTCCCTCGGTAAAAACTAGATGTACCTGTAATTGCTGGAGAAAAAAGTTGCTAGTCAAACTGCGTTAGAAAAACCCATATTTTCTTATGTGGACAGTTACATCTGTTATAGTGAAAACTACGACTGGACACATACAACTGTTATTGTTCAATCTCTGAGTGGACAGACACATCTCCGATAGTGAAAACGGTTGCTCACACAGCGGTGTGAGAAAGCGAAACAGGAAGTAGTAAAATACAAACAAACACGACGAACGTGTAGGGTAGAGTTTTCTAGTCACGATCGGGAGAAACAACAACAGTGTTTGTTTACTTTCACTTTGCCAGCTGTTGGTATGGCAGTCAGTGTGTCACCACCTGGTTTAGTAGGTTGTGTCAGTATGTCACTGTATGTCAGTAGGTTGTGTCAGTATTTGACGGTATGTCAGTAGGTTGTGTCAGTATTTCACGGTATGTCAGTAGGTTGTGTCAGTTAGTAGGTTGTGTCGGTATTTCACCGTATGTCAGTAGGTTGTGTCAGTATGTCACTGTATGTCAGAAGGTTGTGGCAGTCAGTGTTTCGTCAGTAGGTTGTGTCAGTATATCACCGTATGTCAGAAGGTTGTGGCAGTCAGTGTTTCGTCAGTAGGTTTTGTCGGTATCTCACCACCTGTTGTCAGTGGTTTTGTCAGTCAGTATGTCACCACCTGGTTTAGTAGATTGTGACAGTATTTCACCGTATGTCAGTAGGTTTTGTCAGTCACTATATCACCACCTGTTGTAGGTTTGTCAGTCAGTGTGCCACCACCTGTTTTAGGAGGTTTGTCAGTCAGTAGGTCACCACTTGTTTTAAGTTTGTCAGTCACTATATCACCACTTGTTTTAAATTTGTCAGTCGGTATATCACCACCTGCCTACAGGAATGGGGAAACAAACGTGGTCTCACACAGGTACACAGGTATTCTGCTGGTCAGAACACGACAAGGTAACCACCTTCCGTTACTTTACAACACTAATCACGCCTTCCCCGACATCTTACACCTCCCCCCCCCTGTCATGTCACCCCCCCCCCCTCCCCCGCTACTGGGATCACACTGTCATGTCTGCCCTGTCCCCCACCCCTCACATTTTTCCCGTGGCTCGTCCCCCACATTCGCTAATGACTGGCTTAATTAATTTCAACAAGCATGACACGATCCCATATAGTATAACATACAGGAATGGGGGGGGGGGGGGGTGATGACAGTGTTATGAACTTTTTTTTTTGGAGATAGGGCAAGGATACATGAGAAGGGTGTGGGGAGGGAGGACGGGAGAGTGTGTTGAGGAATGGGATTAAGAGATTAGATGGAAAAGGTGGGGGGGGGGGGATATAAAGAGTACTTATATGGAGAAGGTTTACGGTTTTACTGTAGGAAAGAAATAGATTTATATCCTGTATGGTTATAAACGTTAGAAAGGAAAGAAAAGCGCGGTGGGGGTGGGTCTGTTGTAAAAACTTACGTTGAACATTAGGTCCAAGGTTATTTTTGAGGGTGCACTTGAGGTGAGTCTTGGTGACCGACACGTCACACTGGCGACCTCGCTTCATGAATGACCCCTCCATCGTTAGCGGCTGTCCTGTGGTGGTGGGGGGGGGGGGGGTGAGGGAAATAAAAAATAAATAAACCACAATCACCGCAAGGTTTTATTCACTACCTAACCCAACACTTCTCTTATCATACAACAGTTCTAGTGTTGTCTGATACAAACTGATACATTTATCAGCAGTTTTTAGTATTCAGAAAATATATAGATCTAAATGCAATGTTTGTCCACAGATCAATAAGTAAGTAGACATCTTAGCCTACTCGCTTAAAGATTTATACCTGGTATATAGAGATCATGTTTCATACCAGGTAAATCTGTGCGGATTAGGAAAGACACTGCTTTAATTAGCCGGCCAAGACAGCAATTGAGGCTAATGACAATGGTAAACATGTGACTCTAAATATCGAGATATGTCATCTGCTAATGACCTCAAACATTTGATAACTTATCAATAATAATTTTAATTAAGGTCGTACAAACCAGGTGTTTACATAACATAAGGCAACTTCAATAAATGAATAATTTTTATATTTAGCCCTCCATAACTAGGCCAAGATCTAGATTCTAGTTCAATGAAATAACACTTAATAAAAGAACATGTTTCTTACAAGCTAAACCAGTTTCGGATATAAATAAACAAGATATAGGTATACACAAGTGTACGTACTTTTGACTATAAGTCTGTGTTGACAAATATAAAAACCGCTGTACAGAAAATAGTCTTAATCCCACACTAGAATACAATAATCAACGATTGGAAAAAACAAGATGTAGACTAATCCAAACCACATATCACACTGGCGTTAAATCACAGCAACACAGCACCAGAGCCATGCTGATTCCACACTGACAGGGAAACCACACTATTTAAACCTTTCCTCGCGATGGACGACCCGTGTTTACAGGCAACCCCCGGCCTCGCGATCTGTTCATTGGACTTGGAGCGGAACGCCGTGACCCACTAGCGCGCGGAGCCAGCCAATGAGGCGTTGAGATTAAACCCGCTTGGTGACATCACGCGCCGCGAGGAAAAAACACGCCGCGCCGTCGCTGATTGGCGGAGGGGCTGCGGAAGAATGCGCGGTATGTCGTGAAAATTCTGATGCTCGCTTGTGCACAAAAAAAATGGAATACACACTTGAGTGAACGCAACACGGTGGTGAAATTATGGGATGTTGAAAGAGAATTTGCCCCTTTTGATTTTCGCTCAAGCTGATTTGCCGATGTTGGTTGCGAGTAAAATGGACGGCTGTCAGTTATCGAAGTCAACCACGTGACTGAGGGTTACGTAAAGCCGTGTCCCCCTCCCCCCACTCCCCCCACAATTCGCCTGGTGCGCGCGAGTTTTGAGATGACCAGATTGCGCGTGTCTTCATGTAGCAACACGTGCATGCAGAGGCGGAATCAGAGCTTCTTCCAGGCATCTCTTGTGGGTGAAGGGGGGGGGTGCGTCTATCGCCCCCACCCCTAAAATGAATATATATAGAAAATATATACTTTTACCAATGTCCGCCCCCCCCCCCCCAGAGAAAAAGTCTGAAAGAAACACTGGGCGGAATATTTCGCGACTGTATAACAGCATTGAGGTAATGATGACGGCTGGAGGAGGAGGCGACATAACGCTACACACCAACGTTATGGGGGGGGGGGGGGCGGTGGGTATATTAATTTCTAGACATAGCACTACGGAACCAATAATCATTACAGGGGAGGTAATAAATTCCCGATATATCAATGGTTGCCTTCTGATAAAAGTATCTAACCCCCACTGCCCCACTCCTCATCATCGGCTCCTTTCATGCCCCTGGCATCTATCTGTTTATCAATACATCTTTCAACAGAAAGCCTGCGTCCACTCCACCACTCTTGTCCTTTACAGTAAACCACAATCTCTCATATCATTCATAGTCGTACAACACCCACATACAAACCTTACTCACTCACAACTTCACTCACAGAAAACTTACTCACAACCTCACTCACACAAACCTTACTCACTCACACACACCTCACTCACACAAACCTTACTCACACACAATCTCTAGCACACAAACCTTACTTACACACACACACATCTCACTCACACAAATCTTATTCACACAACCTCACTCACACACATCTCACTCACACAAACTTTACTCACACAACCTCACTCACACAAACCTTACTCACACACATCTCACTCACACAAACCTTATTCACACAACCTCACTCACACACATCTCACTCACACAAACTTTACTCACACAACCTCACTCACACAAACCTTACTCACACACATCTCACTCACACAAACCTTATTCACACAACCTCACTCACACAAACCTTACTCACACACATCTCACTCACACAAACCTCACTCACACACATCTCACTCACACAAACTTTACTCACACAACCTCACTCACACAAACCTTACTCACACACATCTCACTCACACAAACCTTATTCACACAACCTCACTCACACAAACCTTATTCACACAACCTCACTCACACACATCTCACTCACACAAACTTTACTCACACAACCTCACTCACACAAACCTTACTCACACACATCTCACTCACACAAACCTTATTCACACAACCTCACTCACACACATCTCACTCACACAAACTTTACTCACACAACCTCACTCACACAAACCTTACTCACACACATCTCACTCACACAAACCTTATTCACACAACCTCACTCACACAAACCTTACTCACACACATCTCACTCACACAAACCTTATTCACACAACCTCACTCACACAAACCTTACTCACACACATCTCACTCACACAAACTTTACTCACACAACCTCACTCACACAAACCTCACTCACACACATCTCACTCACACAAACTTTACTCACACAACCTCACTCACACAAACTTTACTCACACAACCTCACTCACACAAACCTTACTCACCCACAAACAACTTCTCACTCACATAAACTTTACTTACCCACACACAAACCTCACTCACACAACCTCACTCACACAAACTTTACTCACACAACCTCACTCACACAAACCTTACTCACCCACAAACAACTTCTCACTCACATAAACTTTACCTACCCACACACAAACCTCACTCACCCACACACAACATCGCTCACACAAACCTTACACACAAATGAATACAAGACATATCTACACGTTATTCATAAACAAAGGCGTTGCTTCACATTTTAACGTGGGTCTGTCAAAACATTAAGGCTTATCTTTTTTTATTTAGAAAAATGCGGTAATTAAGTAGAATCAACGGAAATTTTACATTTATTAAAACTGAAAAGAAACAACTTCCATAAAGAAAAAGATAGATAAGGATTCTAAAATTAGAGAAAAAAATAACATATTTTATTAAATACTTTTAGAAAAAAAAATACAGTGCATGTAACATTAACTGATAAGATTTTAAAATTACAATTGATTCCAGCGAGAGAATCACGACTTGTTGTCACGAAACGACCCATATTATGATTGGAAAGTCTGCAGAAGGTTACGGAAAATGTTGTACTGTTTGGAAAAATGACCTCTTGGAAAAATGACCATGTGGTCTTATCTGGAAACAGTAGTGTCCTTCGGTTTGTTTTCGGTGCAAATAAAGGTCATCACGTGACCACACTATGTAAATGTCATTTTTAATCTAAACTTCATATTTAATAATTTTTTTTTCATAAAGTCATCTTGCGTAGATTTATTTAAACCGATTACAAATTTGTCATTATCGCTGACGTTTATTCTATGAGTAAATTTTGTCGTTACTGACATCTATTGTGTACTAATCAAATACATGTTTTTCGTCATTTGTACACACGTACATGTACACACTCGGACATAGGGACAACACAGTTTGCCGTTACACACATAATACACACACACGTATAACTATGGAAGTAACACCGAGGTCTGCAACTTGCCCAATGATGCCCTCTGTATAAAAAACTACAGCTCAAGAGAGTGGACTAGTGTTATACATCCACCAGGATTCAGAAGGTTGGAATATAGATTGAAACATCCAGCATGTATTGACAGACTGTACAATTGTACGTTCAAGATTAATCAGACCAGTAGACTAGAGCTACATCCATTAAACATGTATCAGGTCAATGTACGGTTCATCACAGTTAAAATACTAGACCTTGATACATTTTTGAGAAGAAATTATACATTTAAAGAAAGGGGCTCAAAACTCCGTAAGGCTCACCACGTTTGAGAAATTAGTTGAGTTCTACCGTCCATTTGGAGACTGAGGGCCTATTTTTTCAGTCTTTGGAATATAGAGTTGTATACTGTATACAGGACTTACTTTTCCCTCCTATTTTAACTCGAGACACAGTTCCCCACATATTTTAACTTGAGACCCAGTTCCCCAACAGTTCCCCAACAGTTCCCCAACAGTTCCCCAACAGTTCCCTACCTATGTAACGCGGCCGTTCGAGCAGCGATTCCCCCGTTTACCGCGAGTCCCGTGCGAGGGGAAGATAATCTGTGTTTGATGGGTGTCACTTATCGCCCTTTGGGTGGCGGCCTTGTCAAACCTGTGAAAGGATTCTATTGTGGTTGTATTTTCTCTACCCCCCCCCCTCCCTACAACAAGCTCGTTCTGTTAGTTTTTCTACTTCTTAGGTATGAAAGACCTTTGGTTTGTACGTGTGTGTGTTTGTGTGTTTTAAAAAGGGGGTGGGGGGTAAAAGATGTAAGAGGAAAAACTAAGAATAAATATTTTTTTTTCAAACCGTAAATATTCAGGGGGGGGGGGGGGGAGGGGAAGCCTAAAGCCCTAAACGGGTAAAAAGAATAATTCAAAGTTGATTCCGAGCTGCATGATTTATTCACAGTTGAAGAAAGTTTTCTGTGTTTTCTGTATAAATTCCAATTCGTTCGGGAGAGAGGAGGGTAGACTTTCTTATGGGCTCCTGGACGAAACTGAATATTTAGGCCTAAGTATTAATATTTGTTTCGAAGTTAGGCAGATGAATATACACTTTTATAGGCTATACAATAAAAGTAGGCTATACAGCACGATTATAGTATACACATGGAGTATAGACGTCTAGTCTAGATCTAATCGTATCATATGTATTATATCAATTTACATATTATTTGTTTATATTTCTGAAGACGTTATACCACTCACCTGGAGTTAGTCCGTCTCCCCAAGAGGAGGGAAGGGAGAGGGGGCTTTAAAACTGGGCAGCGCTGATACAGACGGGTCTAAAGCTGTTTTAAACAGTAGTACAAACATAATAATATTCTTTTAATGAGATCATACGAGCTTTATTACAATGTAAACAAATAAATGTCGCACTGTTGAACACGTTTCAAAGCAGTTTCTTTTGCGCGTTTGGTGAATGAAAAGTATATCACTCACATTTTACTTTCACTTTCTCGTACACGGAGTATAGAGAAAGTGTTGTAATCGTGGAAAAATTGAAGTCGAGGGTCTTACAAATCAAGACGTTGTACATCTTTCTTAGTCCGAAAAAGACAGCTTTGTTAACTTGTCTAACTAGCGTTTCAGTTTGGCGGACGAAATGACATACACGAATTAGGTCCATGGATATCTGTCGACCTCTAAGCGATTTCCGGTTATCGGAAATTGTTACTACTTTATTTCCGATTTCTCAAGAAAAAAACAAAACATTTTCTAAAAAAAAAGGACTTTGTTACAAACTTATCAGAATTAGCCAGATTCGTTGACAACATATTTGCGCGAATAGAATCTTTTCATTTAAAAAAAATATAAATTTAGGCTCCTCATTAAAGTATTCTTTTCTCAATCCTTTGCTTTCATTCCTATCGAGTACAACTACACAATGGACTAGTGGTTCAAGTGGCACATAAAATAGAAACAGAGTTTGAAACAGAGTTATCCTGCTTCCGTGACCGCGGCATAGTTAAGGATTGTGTTGTCAGTTTAAGGTTTATTTATGGTAGAGTC